GTGTGTGTGTGTGTGTGTGTGTGTGTGTGTGTGTGTGTGTGTGTGTGGCGGGTGTCACTCGCCACGTGCTGCGCAACCTTTCCCCCTCTTCCTTCCTTAGCGGTGTGGGGAGGAGAGGATTCGAAGATCCTCACGTGCGGCGTACTTTTCTTTTTCTTTTTTTCTTTTTGCACGCAGGTTTTGCATGCGGGCGGCTGTAGGTTAAGGATGGGGGAGCCCCCGGGTGGGTTATCAGGTTTTACGGTGCTTCCAACATGTGCGAACGGTGGGAGAGCGGAGAAGAGAGCGAGCGAGCGCCCCGCTGTGTGAAATCCTGCCGTCAAAAGCAACACTGGGGGAGGCAGGGTATAAATTTACCAGGTTAATGTAGCAATGGTGATTAATGCCCAGAACATTGTTTGCGGGTATTGGGGTGTGTGTGTGTGTGTGTGGTGGTGGTGAGGAGAGGTTGTCCTTTGAATGCGGAAAAGTAGGTGTGACCTTGTGTAGGAAAATAAAGAGATCCTTTTTAGCGTGTTTGGCTTCTTTGCCTCCCCTCGTTCGTTTTGATGTGGAGATAATGGCCTTCGGGCGGGAGGGGAAGAAAACTGTAGCTGGATCATTTCAAATTTCACTTACTCTCCTGCCTCACTTCAATATGTCTGAGCGACTCCAGATACTGGAAGACTTTTTGAATGAAAGTGTTACCTCCATTTTTTTTTTTAAAGAGGGCCACTTGGGGAAAAAAAAAGATTCTAAGGAATTCCTTGTTTCTTGATTAAAGAGAAGGCATTGAATATACTGTTCCTTGGCAGCCTTTTCAGTGTCCGGGTTTTTGGTGTGTGTGTGTGTGTGTGTGTGTGTGTGTGAGAGAGAGAGAGAGAGAGAGAGAGAGAGAGAGAGATCAGCTGTATTGAGAAGAGAACGTTTCCTGTGTTCTCATTTTATTTACAACATATTTTACGCTTAATGGTAAGCAATGAAAAATATTTTTAAAACTCATTTCTAAACTCCATAGCTATTTGCATATTCTTGGTTCAAAATTGGATTAGCTCATTTCAAAATTGTCCAAAGCAGAAAAGTGCGTCAAAAAAAAAAAAGTGCAAAAGTGGAAGGTGTGTGGAAGAGGGGGTAGTCTTATACGGCGAGTATATAACAAACTCTATATTTTGAGTGGAAATGTTGGGGGGTCGTCTTATACGCCCAGTCGTCTTATACGCCGGCAAATACGGTACTTACAATAAAAATACATTTTTATAAGTATAAAAGAATACAAGACCTAACCTTACAAAATCGATTACTAAAAGGCTGTTTCGATTATATTGTACGATGTACTATTTTCTTCAATTATTTCCCCTGTCGTATTTTTTAGTGTACAGAACACATGATATTATAAGTCTCTATACAATACTGCTAGGGCAGTAATGGTCTAATATTTTCATGAAATCCGCTATGTATCTCTGATGAGGCCTAATAAGAATGAAAACAGTCACACACTGCCTCCTAGTGGTCAATGTAACTAAAACACAACGCAGGATATAGACTTTATGAAAATAGAGAAATTCTCTCCTCCTTCCAGGATGGTGATAGTGGTGGAAATTATGTAAAGTAGTGGTCCTTAAGGACCCCAACCTTTTTGGGTCTGTGGACCACCAAGTAGTGCGGGCAAGGGGGATGAGACAGTTGCGTACGTGTACAACGTGATCCCCTGCAAGAGCAAATAAAAGTTTCTCACACTTGCCCTCCATTTGCGTGGCCCAGTTCCCAATGCGGAACGGGGTACCGGTCCATGGCCTTGAGGTCCCTTGATCTAAAACGTCAAATGTGAAGTTGTGACATATTGCTACATTTGTATCCCTTCCGAGAGTTTAAGGGAAAGTAGAGTGCATAAACCAGGTGTCCCCCAACCTCTGTGGATTGGCATTGGTCCAGGGCATGCCAGAAATTGGGCTGGTGCAAACAAGAGAAGGTTCATTTGCAGGATGCAGGCAGCACACAAATCCACGCCCTCTCCAGTCCACGTAAAAACCTCTCTCCACAGAACCGGTCCCTGGTGCCGAAAAGGTTGGGGGCCACTAGTGTAAACCATTCTAATTGTCACTGAAAAAAAGGCAATTTGCTTTTATTTGTGTTCTGCACTTAAAATGTATCTTGATCACAACTAGAAAGCTCTGCATCCTTACTTAAAAGTAAGCGCCCTTAAAGCTACCGAGTCTTATTTCCCAGCTGGCCTACAGAAGATCATGCCTCTACTGCATGGGACCAGTTTTTGAAGTATAGATGTACAATTTCAATACCTACTTCACTTGATTTTCTTCTTTGTTTTTATACTCTTCGATTTTGGCCACTTCCTTTCGCAACTGCTGACATTCCAGCTCCACCATATTTAAGAGGTGTTCACGAGACTGCAGTTCATTCCTTACTTCTATGAGTCTGGCTTCAGTGTTCTAAATAAATCCAAATACCAGACTCAATTCATTTGTTCGCTGATAACTTAGCATTTCACGATTTGATAACATTCAGAGCTCTTTTGCATGGCCTTTAATGCTGATATTCCATGGAACCAAAGACTCTTTTTCATCTGGAAAATAGGCTTCATATTTTTTTTATTGCCCCTATAAAATTTTGACCTGCCCGGTTCTCTCTGCAGGAAGATCGCTTAGAAATAAAGCAAGTAAGCTGCAAGCCTTTGCGAATTCAGAAATAAAATGGGTCCTTTTGAGATATTTACTTCCAAGAAAGCTGGCACAGGTTCAGCACACATTAAATACTCCTGTCCCGGTTACAACAATATGGTTAACATGAAAGATGTGCTATGCACAGGTATCAGTCGTAATCCAGAACAGATGATGGGGCTGGATACTCTGAAAAGCACTTCAAAATCATATTACATTCAATAACTCAATCACTTATCAACTCACACAACAGACTGCATATATGTTTTGAACCAGTTTAATCACATGGCTTCCCTAAAGGCACCTTATGAACTGAGATTTGAAGAGGCGTGGAGAATAGTTGGGCAGAGATCTTTATTTCTCCTTCACCCAGATATAATCTGCAAGATTTTCTGGTGAGTGGCAATGACTGGTAACAGAGGCAATGAGAACGGAATTGAAAATAGGGATTGCCAATTTCATGCTGGAGACAGATTTTATTGAGCCCAGTATGAGTGGTGGCATTTTAACTCAGCTGGGAGACATCCCTAGAAGAGGGAAGCCACACATTTGAAAGTCCCGTTTATTATCTATTCCTGACATTATTAATGTGACATTGTAAACAGCTTTATGTGCAAATTCATTCATTCTCACTCTCTCTTCCTCCCTTTCCCCCCTTCTCTCTCACCTCTCTCTCCTAATATCAAAAATTCATTAAAATCATATAAAAGTGGGCTATCCGAGCTTTGTTACAGTCTGTCTTTCTGAAGTTTGAAATGAAAAAAGGTCAATTCCTGAATATTCTCTGGATTAAAAATTGGGTAGCAGGTCTTTGCCTGGTTAGGTTGTGAATGTAGCCCCTCCTGCCAGATACAGCGCATTCAGAAAGTATTCAGACCCCTTTCACTTTTGTCCATTTGGTTATGCTGCAGCCTGATTCTACAGTTGTACAATCAAGGTGTAGAAACATGTCAGCAAGAAAAACGGGAGGCACCTGAGCTAAATTTCAAGCGTTGTTGCAAAGGGTCTGAATACTTATGCCAATGTGAAATTTCAGAGTGTTTTTTTTTTCTCTTTTTAATAAATTTACAGACATTTCTAAAATTCTGTTTTCACTTTGTCATTATGGGGGTACTGTATGTAAAATTAATGAAGAAAAAAAAATGAATTCCAACAACTGTAGAATCCGGCTGCAGCATAACAAAATAGGCAAAAGTGACAGTGGGGTCTAAATACTTTTGAATGCATTGTAAATCACAATACTTCAGGTTACTTGCTAGCTGCAGAGAGATTTGCATTCTCATGAGTAATTGCTTGCTACTGTGTACTTCAGTTCTTAAACATGCTCTTAAAGACGGAAAGCAGACTCTGTCTTTCTCAGTAGCCCCCAGCAGATATTCTGTGCCCGTTAAGAAAGATTGGACCAGCCTATTCAGAAACAAAAGACCTTGACCTCCAGTGATGGAATTAAAACTTACATTCTCCTCCTTTTAGATACAAAATTGTAAAAACAGGGCATGGCCATTGAGGACATAATAAGATTAACCCACTACCATTTAGAGAAGACACAGAGCTCACTACATTGCACACAGTAGGCACAATTTCCTAAGGGCATTTCAGACATTGGACAACCCCCCCCCCCCTCCCCCCCATCAACATTTCAGGACCCGTTTAAAAATCATCTAAGCTAGTTGGTCAGCTGCCCCAATAAATGGACCTTCTTTCTAACCAGCCTCCATTTTATTTCCAGCATCTTTCTCCCGTCTTGCAACTGAACCAGACGGATTTTCCTTCCAACATTTTATTCTGGGATAGAAAATGTTGGTCCTTTGGAGGAAAAAAACAAACAAACCCCAACAACCCTCAGGGTGAAGTTGCAAACGGAGGTCCTGGGAAAAGCATGGATTTAATATCCTTCTAAGCAGCCTCTAATTAAAATGTGGAACTTTCTAAGAATCCGAGAAATGTCCAGATCATTCAGAGGGAACATCTGTTTTCCATTCAGAGAGAACATCTGTTTTCCAGAGAATCCCTGATTTGTGGAAAGAAAAAGATCTTTCAAAACGTTAAGAGAATATTGGAAAAGTTGCCTTAACTGGGTTATTAGGAAGAGAAGCTTCATCCCTTGAGGCTGGAATAAACTGTTGCAGCAGTCAGGGAGATGCTGTTAGCAACTCTGCCTCTATTGATTTAAAAAAGGCACTCTCTCCCCACTTCCAGGAGGAACCAATAAAGTGAAATAATAATGTCCAGGTTTATGTCCCTAGTTCCTGGAAAAGCAGTAAAGCTATTTTTGGCTTGAGTTGCCTTGATGCCAAGTGGCAGCATGGGCATCGAGAGTGATGATCCCTAGAGTAACCGAGAGTCAGACCTGACTGAATGGCTGACCATGACTGCAATGTTTTGCACATCTCCTGCTTTCTTCTGCTTCTAATGGGGAAAACCCATTTCTTGTAAATTCAAGAGGTAAGCGCAGCATCCTTGACGCAGGTTTTATTTGGGTTGCAGGACAGAGAGGAAAGAAGACTGCTTAAGTCAGAGATATTGCAACAGTAAGGAGGAACAAAAAATGTCGGATTAGGTGGGGGGAGGAATACCACAACACAACTTGGCTATAACTAGAGGCATTCCTCATCTGCCGACAGCTGTAACTCTTCTATTTTCCATCACAGGAAAAGAGAGGTTTTAACTTTTTTTTTTTGCATTATAAACCCTCCTGGCTCCAAAGGAGCAATCTGCAGGATTTAAATAAGCCTTCCTGGTCCCTCCTGCTCACAGATTCTTCTTCTGAATTCTGGATACAGTTTATTGTTTTCCCAACTCTTTCTTATTCCATAGGTAAGATTTTGGGAAAGGGAAAACTGTTGCATACAAGAGGTGATATTCATTCATTCATTCATTCATTGATTCATTCACTGATTCATTCATTCATTCTAAGCTTGATTATTGACAACTTATATCGAACTACCTATGCAACCCAAGAGATTCTAAACATCTTTCCTTTGGCCAACTATAGATTACATCTATAGTACATAGCTGTGATCATTTATATGTCCTATCAGCATTCATGTGCTCACAACTTTTTCTAGATTGGCAGCAGCACCCACTATCACTCCCATAAAATATAACAAAGCCACTGTTTAGAAACAAAAACGAGCAAATAGCTTGGTCTTTACCTGGAATTTTCTTTGGTACATTTTTACTTCCTGTTGGAGCTTTAAGTTTTCCTCTTGTAGTTTGTTTCTGCTCACCGCTATTTCACTCACGGTTGATTCAAGTTTCTCCATAAAGAATTCGTTCCTATCAGCAGGCTCAGTAAAAGCACCGTTCTGGACCCCAAGCTGCTCATTTCTGTACTGGCTGCAAGTATCCCCATCATTTTGCTTCAGCTTTTGACAGTGTATTTGGATTTTACAATTTTGAGCTTGTTTCTTAAAAAAAAAAAAAACAAGAAAAAGGTTGCATGAAATTCACTGCTTTGGGAAGAACGGTGTTTCTCTTCTACACGGAAATTTATGCCGCTATAGAAAGCTGGAACTTGAGAACTGCCAAGTCTATTGATTTAAAACAAATTTCAGTTAGGTGATTTATAGGAGACGTCCTTGTAGTACCAATCATTTCTCAGTCTTGGACTAACCTAAACTTCTAATAGAGCAAATTTATCCATGTATGCCCAATGATCTCCAGAAATGAAACCACACTGGGGGGGGGGGGGGGGGGACTTGAGTTATGATGAATACATCAACAACTAATTCTCCACCAAGTGAGGAAGAAATGCAGATTTAATGCAGAGTATGATGCTGCCATCTTTGACTTATGACTTAGAAACAACACCTGGTTTATTGGAAGCCACTGGTTGAGGATGGTTGTATTGCTTTATTAGTATGCTGTAGTCTCTGTTCTAAAAAAAGTTGCAGTCTGAATAAGGGAATGTAGAAACATCCCTCCTCCTCCATTATCTGTATGAGTTATAGGGACGTTCGTGAGTGGAAAAAGCATTTGAAGTGATTCAGATACAGTCCTTGCTATTAAAAATGTGATTTATCTGCTTTTATATATATATAAATATATATATATTATAAATATATATAAATATATATATACATATATATATATAATTCTTACAGCATCACATTCCTGGCATGTTTAAATGTGACAAACCTCATTTGCAAAGATATCTACATATTCATTTTTATGGCTCAGAAAATGTGGGTGAGTATATATATTCTGGTAAGTATTTATCTAGGCTTCACAGTTCATTTAATTCCAATTCCTCTTCGAGAAGAAGCAAAGAATGGTACCTGGAACAGATTGCATTTCTCAGACAGTAATTTTCGCTGAGCATCTAAAGAAACCAAATGATTTTGATACAGCGTTTCCTGCTTATCCCACTCTCTTGATTTTGCTCTAAATTCCTGAAAGAGAAAAGTGGCACAAAAAAATTAATTAATTAATCGGATGATTGAATATCTACTTTCTCTTTGTATTTCTTGAAAATGAATAACCGGTGTAAACCTTCAATAGAAAGAGCCTTTGCACTTAAAAATTCTTGTACAATACATTATTATTAGCAATTTAGATAATCCTGGCTAGGTGCAAAACAGAACATCTGCCATTAATTACACTTGGCAATTAAGTGTTCAAAATGCTTGGCACGCAAAGATGCATTCTCACATAGAGCTGTGCTTCATTCTCTATCAGCCCTTCAAATAACAATATACCCCAGCCCAAAGCAATGAAGCTGGGCTGCAATTCCTCTAGTTGTAATTCATTTGTTGGACCCCACAGAGGAGCAGCGTTCGGTTGTGATGCCGCTATGAATGCACTCTTGCGTTTATTCAAAAATATTGTTGTATCGGACTTATGGGTCCCCCGCTTGGAGAGCATTAGGCTAAGATAGGCAATCAATCTCCAATGGTAGTAGGGGCTCACTTAGGGTCTACCACAGACCTTATCCACACCAACATTGAAGTCAGGAGTGGCATGAGCAATTTTGTTCTTGAAGGGGGCTTGCAAACCTGTCACAGCAGGGCTTTTGATGGTTTCATCACATCCCTGCCAAGTTTCATCTTCATAATCTATTTGCCTCCAGGAATAGCTCTGTTGGAGGAATCCTTGAGGATGCCCTGTCCCAACAGGACAAGATAATATATTTTCACTTCTGTTTGCTCGCATGCGAAATGACATTTGAGCCATTTGTTACTCATCTACTGTTTTGTCTGTTTTATAGCCTAGGCATCCTTACCGAATAAGGATCTGCAAAATAATTGCATTGATAGATCCTCCATTGTGTCACCCTATATAGTGTGTGTGTTGGTCTGTACCTGACTAGAATAGAATAGAAAGAATTAGAATTAGAATAGTATTAGAATAGAATGAGCTGGAAGGGACCTTGGAGGACTTCTAGTCCAACCCCCTGCTGAAGCAGGAGAATCTATACTGTTTCAGATAAGTGACCGTCCAGTAGTCTCTTCTTTAAATTATCCAGTGATGGACAGCACATGGTTTCTGAAGGCAAGCTGTTCCTCTGGTTAATTGTTCTCACTGTTAGGAAGATTCTCCTCAATTCCAGGTTGCTTCTCTCTTTGATCAGTTTCCAACCATTGTTTCTTGTCCTGCCCTCTGGTGCTTTGGAGAATGACTTGGAACACCCCCCCATTCTTTGTGGCAGCCTCTCAAATACTGGAATACTGCTATCATGTCCGCCCTAATCCTTCTTTTCTTTAGACTAGCCAAGCTAAAATCCTGCAGCCATTCTTCATATGTTTTAGTCTCCAGGCCTTTGATGATCTTAGTTGTTCTTCTCTATGAATCAATTATTACATATGAGCATCCACACTTCTTCTCACACAAGGACACCTTAAATCCAACATCATACTGAAGGAGATACTAATCTAAATTTCAGGAAGGAGGAGGAGAGGAGGAGGGAGGAGAGGAGGAGGGAGGAGGGAGGAG